CTAACCTCATCCCGCCCCCTTGACCTGTCCGTCCTCCCTGGACTGACTTATCCCCTCCCTAACTCCCCACCTACACTCACCTTTACTGGCTCCATCCCCGCCTCTTCGACCTGTCTGTTTCCTCTCCACCTATCCTCTCCTCTATCCATCTTCTATCCGCCTCCCCCTCTCTCCCTATTTATTTCAGAACCCCCTTCCCCTCCCCCTTTTCTGATGAAGAGTCTAGGCCCGAAACGTCAGCCTTTCTGCTCCTATGATGCTGCTTGGCCTGCTGTGTTCATCCAGCTCTGCACCTTGTTTTCTCTGTAAATGTGTATACATTTCTAGATAGAAACGTAGGAGCAGGAGTAGGCCATTCAGCAATTTAAACCTGCTCCACCATTCAATATGATCATGGCTGATCATCCAACTCAGTCCCCTGTTCCCGCTTTCTCCCTTTGATCCCTTTAGCACTGAGAACTATATCTAATCGAATTTGAAAACATTCAATATTTCGGCCAGTACCTTGCCCTTAACACCATGGGTTCTATATTATTTAGCAGCCACCCTTGCGGCACCTTGTCAAAATCTTCTGGAAATCCAAGTAGATCTTGCCTGCTGGCTTGTTACCTCCTCAAATAATTCAAACAGGTTTGTCAGGCATGACCTCCCCTTGACAAAGCCGCACTGACTCAGCCCTATTTTGCTGTGCGCTTTCAATAATAATAATGGATTCTAGAATCTTAACCAACGACCACGGTTAGGCTAACCGGCCTATAGTTTCCTGTCTTCTGCCTCCATCCCTTCTTAAACAGGGGTGCTACATTAGCCATTTGCCATTCCTCTGGGACCCTCCCTGTCTCCAGTGATTCCTGAAAGATCACCACCAATGCCTGTACAATCTCCTCAGCTGTCTCCTTCAGAACTCTGGGATATAGTCCATATTGTCCAGGTGATTTATCCAACTTCTCCAGCACCTTCTCCTTAGTGATGACCACTACACTCACCTCTACCCCCTGACTCTCTTGAAGTTCTGAAATGCTGCTGGTCTCTTCCACTGTTAAGACTGATGCAAAGTAGCTATTTAGATCTTCCACTATATCTGAGTTCCCCATTACTACTTCTCCAGCCTCATTTTCCATCAGTTCTTTGTCCACTTTTACCTCTCTCTTGCCTTTTAGATATCTAAAAGAAATCTTGCAATCTTCTTTTATATTACTAGCTAGCTTACTCTCATATTTCATCTTCTCCCCCCTTATTGCATTTTTTGTTATCCTCTGCTTCCCAATCCTCTGGCTTCCACTAATTCTCACCACATTATATGCTTTTAGGAGCATAAGTAGACAAAAACTGCATGCTGTATTTCAGCTGTGGTGTCACCAAGGCCCTGTACAATGGCAGCAACACATCCCTGCTTCTGTACTCAAAACCTCTCACTATGAAGGCTCACATACCATTTACTTTTTTCATCGCCTGCTGCATGTTTACTTTAAGTGACTGGTGTACAAGGACACCCAGGCCTCTTCGCACCTCCCCCTTTCCCAATCTTTCACTATTTAGACAATTTGCCTTCACTATTTGCCTTCCTGTTTTTGCTACCAAAATAGATACCCTCACATTTATCCATATTATACTTGATGTACCATGTATTTGCTCACTAACTGAACTTGTCCAAACCACAATGAAGCATCTCTGCATCCTCCTCACAGCTCACCCTCCCATCCAGCTTTGTGTCATCTGCAAACTTGGAGATATTATATTTAGTTTGATCATTTGAATCATTAATATGGGGTCTGAGCACAGATCCCTGCGGTACCCCACTAATCATTGCAAGTCACTCAGAAAATTTTTTCCTTCTCTTTGTTTCCAGTCAGCCAATCAGTTTTCTATCCATAGCAAGTACACTGCCCTGAATCCCAAGCACTTTAAGTTTACATGCTGATCTCTTATGTGAGACCATATTGAAAGCCTTCTGAAAATCCACATAAGTTCAAAGATTGGTGGAGGATTGCTTTTTGGACTGGAGCCCTGTGACTAGAATGTGCCACGAGGATCGGTGCTGGGTCCACTGCTTTTTTTTATATACATGATTTGGATGTGAATATAGGGGGTGTGGTTAGTAGGTTTGTAGATAATACCAAAATAGGCGGTGTTGTAGACAGTGAAGAAGATTATCTCAGAGTACTGTGTACAGTTTGTTTCCCTTGGGACCTTGATCAGGTGGGTTGAGGAGTGACAGACGGAGTTTAATTTAGATAAATGTGAGGTGTTGCATTTTGGTATATTCTTGGATATCCTTGTAACATTATGGATGTTTCCTCCAAGCTTAAAAATAGTCCAGAATCTTCCATCGGAAAACCTTATATACTGTATTGCGTACTTTCACTTGTAAACTCTTGCAACATAAACAAAAACCCATGTGTTCATGGAGGTCATCAATCTCAAACTGTTTTTAAAAAATTCATCATGGCTGCAGAAATACTTAAAAACTAATCATTAAACCCCTTCAGACACACAGAAAGTCCATATTCATCAATTTCAAAATGCAAAAACCAAGTCAAAAATAAATGTTTTTAAAATATCAATCACACACTGTACATAACACATAGCATGAAGAAATACGCCTGTGGTTAATCATTTCTGTTTCAGAACATTGTGTTCCAGTACAGCGCCAACTTGCAACTCGACCTCGGTAACATTCAGGCTTGTGATGGTAAGCGCCAAACTGCATTTGTACCGCACAAACACCAAGCAATGACTATTCCCCAACATGAGACAATCTGACCATCTTCCCGTGACATTCAATGGTGTAACCATCATTGCAACCCTTCATTGGCTTCACAATAACTGATTGATCCGTTGTAAATTCCTGTTCAGTTCATAGGTGTGTTGACACCTGCTGGTTTAATCGCCACCCGATTATGGAAGCAAGTGTTGGGGGCTGGGCATCCTAAAGCAGGCACTGAACCACTCACTTACATCTCTAACAGGTTTGTTTTAACTAGCCACTTAAAACAGCCTTTACCAATGTGGCGGTGCCTATAACACAGGCCCAGATCCAGTATGGAGCGTTGTAAATAGTTTCTAGTCAACCTGTAGAGAGGTGGTGTTACACATCTCTGGAGCAGGTGAGAGTTGAGCCTGGACCTCCTGGCTCAGAGGTAGGGACATTACTACCACACCAAAAGAGCCCTCAGGGAACATTGTATGGTGAGAAACTGGTCCCCTCTTGCAACCCCTCATCTTCTACTTGAGAAACATGCACTAGATGGAGAAGTTTCTATCCAGTCATAAATATTATTTACTTAACAATCATCTCAGATAATCTTGAGAATAGATTATTGCATCTCTTTTTTGACTTTCTTACTAATGGGAATGTCTCTCATTTAGGCAGAAAGATCGGCCAGCTACTCCTTCCTACCAGATGTCAGTGAACGTTGATAGCATCAAGTCCAACTCTAACACTACCACAGCAGCTCGAACGGGGAGAGAGAGGAGTAGGACTTTGCCAGCATCTTCAAAGTGTCCTGCAGCTCAGGAGAACAAATGCACTGTTCTCCCTACAATGGACACCAAGAAAGTACCAAGTCAGCTCATTGTTCCTCAACAATCTGACACCAGATTGAACCGAACTTGGACCACTGCCCAGTTTGCTGAGTCCAGAGTGAACCAGAGTAACTCAAGTGAGGGCAAGCACCGCACTAGTGCAATTTCCCAGAAATCTCCTTCTGAAATGACCCCCCGAACCTCAAAGGGTTCGGCGAGAAGTTATTCACCTGCGCCTGGCCGAGTCAGTAAGCTCTCACTTGTTCAAGATGCTGAGAGTAAAGGTGACAAGAGTCAAGTGTCTCATCGACATCTGAGCCCAGCTGGTACCTGGCAAGAAAGCTGTGGGCAGGAACCAAAGTGTGTCAGCAAACCACTAAACGATAGAGAAAAGAAGTGTACTCAACAAAAAAGTCGGATTCGCTCGCGGACTCCTGAGCCTTACAGTATCAATAACAATAATAACAAAGGTGTTAACAGTGATATGCGTGAGCTGTGTACATTCACACCTCCACCCATTAATCCTACACAAGAGTCAGAACTCTACAAGAGCCTCGAAGATGAAATTGCATCCAATATGAAGGCTCTGCAGGTAGGTTTATATGAGGACAATGTGGAGGTCACTGAACTCGATACATTTGCTTCAGTCTCCAGTCTGTCCAGTTCTTCAAAATGTAAGAAACCCGACTCTCCAGTTTCATCCAAATGTTCAGTTTCCTCATTCCCCAGCCCTTGTGATAACACTAATCGACCTTACAGCTGCATTAATGTGGCATCGATACAGACGAGAGGAGTGACTGAGAACAGCAGCAGTTTTAATGCTGTTCTGACTGAACTTGTTAGTGGGACACAGAAGCTTAATCGGGTGGATATTGAGAACTGGATAGCAAAGAGCCCAAACATGTTGCTCACTGAGTCTAGTACTAATCTACAGACAGCAGCTTTGAACCCTGTTGAACCCGTCATACCATTTCCCAACAGAATTGAAGTGCAAAGCGAAAACTATACTAAGACTGGATCAAAATCTCTTCAGTGCAATCAAGAAAACAATGACTTCAAGGGCACTAATCTCAACAGCGCGAAGTGTCATATAATGCCGGCTCAGAATAACTTGAACACCATCGAGGTGAATTCCAGATCCACAAATGAAGGATCTGACACTAATTCGTCATTGGAATGGCCAGATCCCCCCTGCGCTCTTCAGAAAGCCAGAGCTCAACAGGAAAGGCAAAAGCGGTCACTGCGCAAACCGGAGAGAGTTCCTTCCATCTACAAACTGAAGCTTCGCCCTAAAATACGCCCCAGGAGGGACAACCGACCTGAGAAGAAGCCATCAAGAATTCCCACTCCGTTATCCTACAGAGAGGCAGACAAGACCATAAAAGGTATGACAAAATCTGGAAGTTCCCACAAATCCCTCAAAGCCAACAGCAAGGCCTCAAAGTCTAAAGTTCAGGGAAGACAGATCTCGGCTTTATATTTCACGAAAGCTGAGGAGGATCTTGGTTCGGGAGAAGACTTTTGGGCTTGTCAACACAGTGTTCCACCAGGTGACAGAACTGCAGTACAGCAATCCATTATGGAGGACTCTGGGCAAGGAAAAGAAGATGAGGAATCTTGGGTTTAAAAGCTTGAAAGTAAATCTGTATAATATCTCAACCTCAAGCACTTTGTTTATTGACCATCGATATTTTTTGTGTGTCGCATTCTTTCACAGAAGCACTTAATTATGAGGCAGAAGAAACAGCCCAGCTGTGTCCACCTGTCACTCTGAAAGCCAGCATGTTTTGTAATGAAGTTAAATGTGGTGATAATTGCCTAAAACAAAGGTACAAGAAAACAAGAACCATAACAATTGCACTACTTGATGCTAATTAACCTAATAGAGGAGATGGCACAACTCTTATCCAGAAAGTGATAAAAAGTTTGAAAGTCAATTGAAGGGGCATTGAGTGAAAGACATTTTGTCCCCACCAAATGACCTAATAATGTAGCTATAACATGATCAGCGAGAGTGAATCAATTAAAGTGTGGGTTCCTAAAATAATTGTTTACAAATTCTGATTTGGTTTTGATGCGTTTACAAATAGTTTCACAAATGATTATAATGAGCTTGTCACAATGTCACTTGCTTTATAGAGATGTATGGCGCCTTCTATGTTTTCTAAACTTTGTCTTATTAAGTCATTAATAATACTGTTTATTCCCACATTGTCAGATATTAAGTGCTAATATCTCCCCTGTTTTCATATTTCAATAATGACTGAATATTTCAATGTCATCCTGGTTCTTCGATCTTGAGTCCACCTGACACGCCAGTATGTGAGGGCCAGGACAAATTGAACATGAGGTTATATCAATGAGTAACTTTAAATTGAGGGCTCGGGTGGGATCAGCGAACACATAATCTTTACAGAATTGGTAATAGAAACTTGGACTGGGTCACCGGACCTGGGGCATTGACTCTGGTTTCCCTTCTCGGATGATTGCCGGATGCGCTGGGCTTTTCCACCAGTTTCTGTTTTTGTTTCTGATTTACAGCATCCGCAGTTCTTTTGGTTTTTATTAAAGGATGATTGATAGTCAGGGAAGGAGAAAAACTGATAATGGATTGGCTGTGATGAAAGAAGCCCATGTCCTGACAGGACCTGGGGGTGTGGAGGTGGGTAAAGGATGTATAAGGATAAGATCGATATTGAAAATCAAATTATCGGTATCAATATTTAGCCTTGAAGGCTGGAAAGTCCCCTAGCAGAGGATGAGATGCTGTTCTTCAGACTTGCACTGAACCTCACTGGAGTGCTGCAGCAGGAGCCAAGGCAGAAATGTTGGGCCCACAACAAGGCAGTTAACAAGCAATAATCCTCCTTAAATGGCAGCTTGCCACTGTCTGACAAGAACCTTGCCATGCCAAGTTGTTAGATCTCATATTTTCCAATGAGAGTTCAAGTCGTGGGGTGTTGTCAGATTGTTATTGGAGCTTCATTTTTCAGTACAGCTTCATTTCTCCAGAGCAATAAGGCACACAAAAAGCTTCAGAATGTCTTAACTTATACAGTATAAACTTAGAGTGTACATGCCCCGCCTTTGATGCTATTGGTCAGCGGCCCTACATTATCCCTTTGTAATTGGCTCTCTGGTACAGCATCTTTTACAATTCAAGCGTGCCTCAGCAGTTTCAATGTAGAAAAAAATAGCAACTTGGACTGTGTCCTCCAAACAATTGTTGAGGCTAATTGAAAGCTTCAAAGTTGATGGATATTTGGTAGGTCAAAGTGTTAAGGATAATAGAACCATGACAGGCTAGGAGTCCTTGATTGAATGGCAGAAATGGTTTGATATGCTAAATGAATCCGACTTTCCGGTGATCACATAGCTGATGAGTACAAGGCGATTAAGCCAAAGTTGTGCTAAGTATTAACAAGGGCTTGGGAGGATGGCTATTGGAGGATATGTCCTCTTGTGCTCTATGTGGTGATGTTAGCACACGTAGGATTTTGCTACATTTAGTGTCTTAATTGGAAAGCAACTGAGGGTTCATAATTCTGATGCATTTCCCAATGGGAGGATGGTTCACCGGTGCACTGATTCCTCTCATCCCGCACTCAGAGTCTTCCAATTCTATGGCATTCAAATCTTAATAAGAATTTACTTTTCTCGCTGTGCTGTTGATAATTTGTTTTGCAGTCAAAATCATTTCTGGAAGAGGAATAGACAATCGTAATTATTTCCAATAAAGGGATTTTTCATTTAAACATATGTGTGATTTAATGGGGTTTTAATGCCTTGTTAAGTCCTGCTTTACAAATTCCTGAGTGCATTTATTACAGTTAATGTCTGTATTGACTGGTCAAGCTGTAATAATGCCCTCCTGCCAGGTGAGGTGTTGCAGCCTCTCAAAGATTTTGTACTTTAAAATGTCATACTCTTGGAACATGACACCTCAGGGATCAGCTAAAATGAAAACTTATTTGTTGATTTATATTGGATTAACTAAATGGTTAAATGAAAAACAGTTTATTCAATTGATAAATGACAGTGAGGAACAAGTATGCACCAGGAAACAGCAATCAAATAATTTTTTTTATAAAATGAGGGTTATTGACCCAAACAAGCAAATGGTAAGAAAACCAATTTAATTACTCCAAAATATTTGTGAGATCTCTTTGTCAGTTTAATGTTTCCTTTGTTGAAAATGTTAGCAATATGACATAGGCTTCCTTCAAATAATATTTTAAAACACCAGTTTGGGATTGTGTTTTCTGACAGATACATGGTGTCAGAAACACTTCAAAAATGTCGAGACCTATTGTGCTGTGGGGTCTGATTTGAAGTAATGGACTTCATTTTAAATGTGGATTTAGTATTTGGCGTTTTTTGTTGTAGAAATTTCCCCATGATATGATTGCAGTTTACATCAGTCAAGCACTTCTCCTTTATCTTGATTCAACCCATCCATTATGCTGCTTTTGCACACTCTTCTGCTCCTCACTTAAAGGAACCTAACCTAACCTTATGCTTCTTAATTCGCTCACACTAACCACACTGCAGGTACTACAATGTGGAAACAGGCCCTTTGGCACAACAAGTCCACATCGCCCCTCAGAGCATCCCACCCCGACCTATCTACAAATCCCTGAACACTACGGGCAATTTAGCATGGCCAAATCATCTCACCTGCACATCTTTGGACTGTGGGAGGAAACCGGAGCACCTGGAGGAAACCCACGCAGAGAATGTGCAAATTCCACACAGACAATTGCCCGAGGGTGGCTTTGAACCAGGGGTCCCTGGTGCTGTGAGGCAGCAGTGCTAACCACTGAGCCACCGTGCTGTCTTTGCAATCTTCCTTTGGAGAACAGTGTGAATTATAACCAAGATGGCGTCAGAGCAGCAGTGCTGCATTCGAGCTCCCGGCCTGGGGCTCATCTATTTCCATCTGCTCTCTATGTTTCTTCTTCTTCTTTTTACTTTTGCTCTTTAATCTTTTTTTTCTCTTGACAAGCCTTTCTCAGTGTCTTCGGCAGCGCGAGAGTGGGCCTGGCCTCCTCAGCCTCAGATTCGGCTCCTCCTTGCGAGCGGAGGCAGCAGCGGTAGAGCATCCCCCATGAAGAGGCTGGACTGAAACTCCAGGCCAGGGCTAGGCCCGGGGAGATAGGACGTTAAAATCTGGACGTTTTTCCCTTTTCTTTTGGATAAGGAGTTTGAGATCTGGGTGTTTTCCTTTTTCTTTTCGCTCTGTTTCTTTTATTTCTCCTCTTGCTTTTTTAAAAAAGATTCTGGTTTCATATTTTATATTTTAAGATGGCGCTGTCAAATGGCGACTTTGTACACTTTTCACTGTACTCCTGCACACAAGTCCACGTGACAATAAAATCTAATTCTAATTCTAGTGTGAAGTAGTAGGGTGAATCAGGCTGGTGGACAGACCATGACGTGAACACCCGTTCTATGTCCATAGCCCTCTTTATAACAGCTGATAGTGTCTTCAATGATAGTATAACTCAAGAGTGCGTTGGAAGTTGAGGCCCACTAACCTACAAACTGTACCTAAAGTGTAAATGTCTTCTCAACAAAATGGTCAACTTGTCTCATTATTACTGCTGGATAGAAATGAAAGAGATTTTCACCAGTAAGGTGAACTGAGGTTTCTTCAGTAAACATAACCATAACTCACTTACAATGGCATAGAGCTGTACAGCATGGAAACAGACCTTGCGGTCCAATTCGTCCATGCTGACCAGATATCCTAAATTAATCTAGACCCATTTGCCAGCATTTGGCCCATATCCCTGTAATCCCTTCCTATTCATATACCCACCCAGATGCATTTTAAATGTTGTAATTGTACCAGCCTCCACCACTTCCTCTGGCAGCTCATTTCCATACATGCACCACCCTCTGTGTGAAAAAGTTCCCCTCAGGTCCCTTTTAAATCTTTCCCCTCTCACCTTAAACCTATACCCTCTAGTTTTGGACTCCCCCACCCTGGGCAAAAGACCTTCACTATTCACCCTATGCATTCCCCTCGTGATTTTATAAACCTCTATAAGGTTACCACTCAGCCTGTGACGCTCCAGCTAATTATTAGGAATAACCTCTTTCTCTAAACAAGTAGCAAACTGGTTATCAACTAAACTACTTTGCAGGGCTGAAGCTTTTTTCATTGCTTCATGAGATGTGGGCATCGCTGGCTAGGCCAGCATTTATTGCTCACCCACAATTATCCAGATGGCAATTCAGAGTTAGGCTGACGCAAGAACATACGCGTACAAACAATTTCAGGGGACGTGGCCTGGGGAGGGAGACACCTCTTTTGGTCACTTGTGTTAATATGTAGATTTGTGTCAGATTTTGGTTGATAAGACTCCCATAGAATGTTAATTGCATTAAAGGTTAGATACAAGTTATTGTTGCTAGTCTAGCTTCCCCTTTTTCCTGCCTTTCACTCGGTCTTTTTCACAATCTCTGATGACCGTGCTCTGTGCCTGTATTGAGTAGAGATTGGTTATTTCCAAGTGACAGCCTGCACTGACAGCGACAACTGAGCCCAGCCTAATGCTGGTCCTTTGGACTTGCTCAAGTTTTATTCACAAGTTATTGATGATGATTGTGATCCAAGGACAGTCTCGATGGTGATGCCTCGATGGCAATATCCATTGAAAACTCTCCAGTGCAGCAGACTGAGCTGCATGGGGCTCTCATATACAGATGCCAAATGGCTTGTTTCATCAGTTACCTTGGACACCTACAAACCTACCTTCACCATTACGCCTCACAGCACCAACCTCCCAGGTTCGATTCCACCCTCGGGCGACTGTCTGTGTGGAGTTTGCACATTCTCCCTGCATCTGTGTGGGTTTCCTCCGGGTGCTCTGGTTTCCTCCCACAGTCCAGAGAGTCAATGGCATTGCTGTGGGTCTGGAGTCACATGTAATCCAGACCAGGTAAGGATGGCAGTTTTCTTCCCTAAAGAACATTAGTGAACCAGATGGGGTTTTTCCTGACAATTGACAGTGGATTCACAGTCTTCATTAGATTCTTAATTCAATTTAAGTTCCACCATCTGCTGTGGTAGGATTTGAACCCAGGTCCCCCGAATGTTAGCTGGGTCTCTGGACTAACAGCCCAGCAGTAATACCACTAGGCCATCGCCTTCCCGCCCCTGTGTTGTATTGGCTTAAAGCACAAGATAAATAACTTCCTTCCCCGGAACAGCGATCAGTTTTTGAAATTCTGCCTCCTCTCTGATTCTTTCAGTCTATCATTGTCTGTCTGTTCCACCCTTTACCTTTTCACACATCAGTGAGCACATCAGTCTTATCATCAATGAGAAAGGACGTGTGACTTCCTTCAGGAAATCACCACATAAAAGATGGTTTCTGAAGAAGTTTCTGAAGAAGGGTCTAGGCCCAAAACGTCAGCTTTTCTGCTCCTCTGATGCTGCTTGGCCTGCTGTGTTCATCCAGCTCTACACCTTGTTATCACATAAAAGATGCCTCCTAATCTCTCCTAGCATAGAATCCCTACAGGCCCATCAAATCCACGCCAACCCTCCAAAGAGCATCCCACCCAGAACCACCCCTACCCTATCCTGGTAACTGTGCATTCCCCATGGCCAATCCACCTGACTTGGCACATCTTGAGACTGTGGGAGGAAAAACAGAGCACCCGGAGGAAACCCAGTCAGCTACAGGGAGAATGTGCAAGCTCCACACAGAGAGTTGCCTGAGGGTGGAATTTAACCCAGGTTCCCAGACACTGTGAGGCAGTAGTGCTAACCACTGAGCCACTGTGCCACTCTCAATTCATTTGCCAATTGCTCTGAATCTCTGGTTACTGCCTTTCGAATAATTGATGTCTATTTACTCTATCAAAACCCCTCATTATTTTAACATCTTCACTAAATCTCCCTTGCTCATTGCAGCTCTGAGGAAAACAATCCCAGTTGCCCAGTCTATCCATATTATTGAATTCCCACATTCTGTGAAATGCCCTGTGTACTTTCTCTAAAGGCTTAATATTCTTCCAAAGTGTTTCACTCAGACACAAGCCTCGGGCAGAGGCCAAACCAGCATTTCATTTACTGGGACTATTTTTCAATCTCTCATTACCTTAGGCTTCACTCCTATTTAACTTGTTCCATCTTGTAGTGGGCAGACTTTTCAATTTTGTCGAGAATAATGAAGTGGAATGGTTTAACATGTAATTGACCGCAAATTATTCTCAAACGGTAATCAACAGATTAGAATTCCCCATTCATAGTTACTCTCTGCTGCTTAAAATGCTGCACGCTGCTTGCAGCAGAGCAGAAATCAAGAGTTTTCCCTGTCCATTCAGGTGGAGCAGGTTTGAGATGAAAGCCAGCTCCTACACAGGCTTGCACAAAATCCTGGTTTGCAGTTAATGGCTCGGGTCATTTCAGGCAGCATTATGGCAGTGATCCCCCTGGGACAGGGTTGGGGATGGCGTTGCATGCAGGGGGCCCAGGGTCGAATGGAACTGATTGGGTGTCAAATGTTGGGCCAGGATACAATATCTGTTGGAGTGGGGGATGGGAGGGTGAGATGTGCTTCTTCTTCAAACTGCTCCATTTACCTCTGCACAGAGTAAAAACGGTCTCGGCCCGATGTAGTGTCCTCCCTGTGTGCCAGTCTCCCCGTGTGCCAGTCTCCCCGTGTGCCAGTCTCCC